GTGATAAAGAGAACAATCATTGGAGAGATGGTCGAAGACCAGTTGTTACCATGTTGGTAAGAAAAACCGCGAGCCTTTTCTTAGTGAATCCTTTAAATTTGTAAAGGGTTTGGCGTACACATGGGTATCTTTTGCATGTGTGTGAATAGTGAGGGGTGTTAGATGGAGAGATCATGTGAAATGGACGTCACCCTTGTGACCTGTGTTATTAATCTTGTGGTCTCTACTGATGTAGATACTGGCCTACTTTTGCGGTGGTCCCGTGTGATCCGTCCTCGAGTTTCTATGACTGTGATTCTAATCTTCGGTTTGATGTTTATATTCAAATTCTAACTTTCAAGCACGATTTGATCTCGGTAATTGATTTCCTTTGTGGGTGTCCCTTCATTTTAGAGAATTTCAATGATTTATGTCTTATGAATTAAATTTTTCTTTTTATTCTCTAGGAATGTCTAGTACCTGACAACCTGCTTTGCAATTAAGTTTTAGGCATTGTACTTGAGACTTGATAGTTAGAATTCTCGTTTGGATAGACATTAATGATTGATTTTATTGTTGTAGCTATTTTGAGAGGAGTTTTGCTACAGGGACCTAAAATATGAGACCAATAGGGGGGATAAGTGAGGTGTCATCCTCCTATTGGATAATGAGTTGGTCATCATTAATGATGGCCAACTCATTATCCAATAGGAGGGGGACACCTTACTTGTCCCCCTATTGGTCCTGTATTTTGGGTTCTTGATGAATTTTTCTTTTGAGAGAGAGGCATACAGTAATTTTGCAGTGCTTATGAAAAAAGTAGCATAGCAATTTTTATTTTTTGTTAGAATGTCCTAATTTAAGACTTGGGTTACATGCAAATAGGCCCCAATAGTACTGTCCGATATTGTGACATACAACCTCCCTGTAAGCCCCCCCCCTTTGTGAATTATTTGTCTAAGTATGAACATGCCCCTGGTGAATTTTTTTTGATCATCTTAGGAGTCAAAAAAGGACAAATTTTTAAAATTAACATTTTTGCCATTTTAAATAGCAAAATCGACCCTATATGAAATTATTCAGCAAAACCGACCCTTTTCTTCTAAAAAGGGTTAGTTTTGCTGTTGGAGAATTTTTACGAAATACACGGGACTGCTAGTCCCGTGTATTTCGCCCTAGCTTTGAATTGCACGGGACTATCAGTCCCGTGTTTTTTTTAGCAGAGAGAGCTCCTTCATTATCACCGCAGTCTCTCTCTTCATCTCTTCTCCATCTCTCCCTTCACCAGCTCCTCTCAGTTCTCTCTCTCCCCGAGTTCCGACCCGAGCTCTGCTGCAAGCCCAAGCCCCATGTCGCCACCTCCCAAGCCCGACGCCAAAGCTCAACCACAGCGCCGCCGATCTCCACCCAGCTTTCCCCCTGAACTCTCCGCTGCTCAACCCCCTCCTCCCCGAACTCCGCCTCCAGCCTACTCGCCTCAGCCACCCCTCGAGTTGGGTCGAAATTTCTTGGAGAGAGAGAACTGAGAGGAGCTGGTGAAGGGAGAGATGGATAAGAGATGAAGAGAGAGACTGCAGTGATAATAGAGGAAAGAGATATGAAGAGAGGGGAGAGAACGAATGTGACGGGGAGAATGAGCTCTCTCTGCTCAAAAAAACATGGGACTGCTAGTCCCGTGCAATTCAAAGTTGGGGCGAAATACACGGGACTAGCAGTCCCGTGTATTTCGTAAAAATTCTCCAACAGCAAAACCGACCTTTTTCAGAAGAAAAGGGTCGGTTTTGCTGAATAATTTTATTTAGGGTCGATTTTGCTATTTAAAATGGCAAAAAGGTTGATTTTAAAAATTTGTCCGTCAAAAAATTAGCAATTGGAGTTCTTTCCTCATCGGACAGAAATATAATGGGTCTATCCGCCTCTAAATCTTTTTGATTTTGACTGTTTTAAGAGGTAAAAAAGATTCACTCAGGGGATCCTTCTACAAAAACAGAACTACGACAAGTAGGGCTGTTAATCGGTTTGAATGGTGCGGTTAATAGGTGACACCGAACACCAAACCGATCTATTTTTTCGGTTCGGTTCGGTTTGGTTTTTCACTTATTTTTTCATAAACCAATTGTGTTCGGTTTGGTTTTTCTCTGGTTTATATCGGTTTTTTCGGTCATTCTATAAAGAAAACAAGTCTAGAAAAGTAGAAAGTAGAAATGTCTCATATTACATAACTGTTTCCGAAAAGAAAAGAAAAGAAAAAAATGAAAAAGGGTAGCCCACAATGCCACATAACAGTTTTCGAAAAGAAAAAAAAAAGCGATGAAAAACTAGAATAGCAGAAACATGTAGATGATAGATCAGCACTTCAAGTTCAGCAGCAAGCTCCTCAATGACCAACATTTGGGGAAATGGAAAGCTACAGTACCACATGACAGAAGGGATTTCTTCGCCGGTGACGAGAGAACCCAAGATTTGGGGCCGATGGACAGGAGAACCCTAAATTTGGGGGCGATGGTACGAGAGGCGACGAGACGGAGCGCGAAGGACCAAAAGCTCGTTGGGTTTGGGACTTTGGGGGCGATGGACGAGAACTCAGATTCTCAGAAGCCCTAGAAATATAATAAAAGTCTAATGTAGACTATGTTGTAATGTTGGAACGCAGGCCAATGTCATCCTTTTTTTTTGGTTTCATTTAAGCCCAAGTTTGAAGTTTCTACATAAAATTTTATGTATATTAATAATATATATCTATAAATAATATAATTTCCTTACAATATATATAATCGGTTTTTCGGTTCGGTTTCGGTTTCCAGACATTCGAAACCAAAACCACACCAAACCTTTCGGTTTTCGGTTATTTTTTTGCGCTTTGGTGCGGTTTTTTTCTTTCCTCGGTTTTTTCGGTTATGGTTCGGTTTTGGTGTGGTTATTTTTTTGGTTATCGGTTTTCAAGTTACAGCCCTAACGACAATGGTGTATTCGCAGTTAACCCTAAAGATTTTTATTGTTATTATGTAAACCTGCTTTTGTTTCGCATGGTAAGCGTCAGCTTTAATTTTTCACATTCCTGGTGGATTTTGCTTTGAGGGACGAGAGAGTTGAAAGCACTGAGCTGAGACCTCAATTTGGATAGGTGCTGATGATAAACAATCCATTTTCACCATGGATTGAACGATTAACACATTTCAGCTTGATCTTTATAATCCGATTAACACATTTCAGCTTGATCTTTATAATCCGAATTAAGTTAAAATATACCTTCAAAGGGTAAATGATAACCTAACTTATTTTCTGATGTGGATGATCCACCTTTGGTGGCAGCCACAAAGCATACAATAAGTAGGTATAATGCTATCTAAGATTTACTTTTTGCAATACCTATACTTGTATTATCTTTGGTCATTCTACTCGAGGACAATGGAAAGAAGCTATGAGCACTACAACAAAAGCTGTATGTGTCCGCATTTAATTTATGACACATATAAAAGTGTCGTTTTATTTGTAAAAGATTAAACAATAGTAACACAAATAAAAAGTATAGCCTGACAGTGCTCGACACAACTGTCAACATCGGCCTACTTCCTCTTACTCGACACAATCCCTTTGAGTTCCTACAACAGTCTTTTACTGCACTCCGCTTAAAGCTAGGTTTTATGCCGACTCCGACGACGGAGGAGCAGGAGGACGAGTCATCTCCTGTTTTATGCCGACTCCGACGACGGAGGAGCAGGAGGACGAGTCATCTCCTTCGCCGATGTTTGCGCCTTGGGATTTATCGCCAGCCAGCAGGAGGACGAGTCATCTCCTTCGCCGATGTTTGCGCCTTGGGATTTATCGCCAGCCAGGATTATTTTTCGCCCAGGGCAAAAAAAATTCCTGGCTACGCCACTGTATACAAACACCCTAAGTTGGCTCTGATACCACTTGTTGGGACAAACCTGGGGCCCAATAGAGCAGAGTCGCAGCAATAGTAGAGCAAAAGTAGAGATAAAAGGTTGGACACACAGATTTACGTGGTTCGGCACGTGATTGCCTACGTTCACGGGCGATGATAGAAGAATCCACTATGAGGAGAAAAACTCTGGAGTTACAAACTCTATCTTTCCAAGGAGAAACTCTCTCTATTTTTTCTCTCTCACTCTTCTAGATAAGAAGTTGTTTCTGGGATGAGATTTTCTTAAGGATTTGGAGCTTATTTATAGGATTTTGAAAAACACTATGCACAATAAAATATTAATATTTTGACGTAGCAGTGGGTCCCATCATTTTGTTTTATTTTCCATTTTCAAAGTTGGTGGCTGGATAATTTAGCATGTGGGCGGCTGAGGCTGCCCACAATTTTCACCATGGATTGAACGATTAACGCATTTCAGCTTGATCTTTATAATCCTAATTAAATTAAAATATACCAGCTAAAATAAGCGGAAAACTTGCGAGAAGGTACAGCTCGATATTTTTAACCACAGGAATAATTTGCGAACTTACCGAGCACCAACATTTCATTTATGTATGGTGTCTGCAAAGGAGATATTTTATACATAGAAATGAAGGATATGTCAGATGCAGAGAGCATCAACCGCAAAATCGAAATCCGGTTGTATTCATACTGTAACTGAAGCTTGCACGTGTTGACACGAAAGCGTGTGATGGACGGATACAGACCCTCATCTCCGTATTCAATCATTATAGATGGCGTTTGAAGACCCAAACATAGCTAGGGTTTCCCGAATATAAAACAACCATCAACGTGTTCCTCGCACCCTCCTAATTATATATAATTTGGATGAGTGAAGGTCAGAGAGCGAGAGAGAGAGAGAGACGTCACAATCTCACGTTTTACACGCGGCTACCCCCTTTTCTTGACATCGCAGTGTCGAATTCCATTGGTCGGGGGAGGGTCCCCGGTTGGCACGCATTTATTGGCTCGTGGCGACATCCTTTGTTGCGCTGACGCGGACCGCGCGTCTGTTGTCTACTGACGACGTTACTTGCTTCGCTAGTTATTGACCGATCC